ATTTCACCAGAGATGGCTTTGCTGCAAAGGCAATTGATTTAATGATTTGGTTACTAGAGTGCTGCTGCAACCGCTTCCCCAGGATGAGATTTCATCACTCCCAAAGTGGGTGAGAAGACAGTCGACAACCTAAAAATACCGGCAGTTTAGGAATAACAGGAAGCCACGGCAGCAGGAGAACTAGCAGGGAAGAAAGCTGCCGGGACTTTCTCCTCTTTTTGGATGCGGTAGGATCGATGCCCGGGGCTCCGGCTGCCCCCGCAGGGAGACGCGGTTGGATTGCCCAGGAAAGCGGCTCGGCTCGCTCAAGGAGCGGTGGTGTAAAGTTACGCGCTCTTTAAACCTAAACCCGCCCAGCACCCAGACACAGGTGGGGGTCTGCAGAAGGTGGGGAGCTCTTAATGCTGTTTCAGCCCCTTGTGTCTCCCCCTGTTCCCCCCGGACAGTGCCAGAGGCCAGCACTGACTTGATGCTCAGCACCTCTCACCTCTCTTTCTCAAAGACCGGGAGAAACAACCTCCTCCCTTCAGCGGAGCTGCTGCAGGTGAGGAAACCACTGCCAAGCACCTCGAGGTGCCTCTGGGCTTCCATTGCCTGTGGGGCTGGCACAGAGCCTGTGCTGGTACCCAGCCAGAGCCCAGGGACCGTGCTGGGGCAGCGCTGTCCCCCTGCTCTGGCTGGCAGCAGCCCCACGGTGACACGGGGCCAGATGCTGCTACCAAGGGGTGAAGCACTAAGAGAGGACTGACAGGAAGATTGGGGAGGGAGACCAGGACTCAGCCACCCAAAAGCTCTCTCTGCTCTAAGGAGAAGGCAGGAGGGTCAAGTATCTCTGTTACCTGCAACCCAGGGATGCACAGCTGGCCATGGAATTTTCCAGGTGTTGCCAGCTGGGATGGCAATGCTGGCAAAGACAGCATTGAAAAATACTGCGTAAGGGAAGGAACAGTATTGAGATCTGTGACCTCAGTGACAAAACCAATATATTTTAAAGTGTTGCTATAAATCTCAGTCCTCTGTTCCTCCACAAACAAAATCACATGGAGAGATCAGGAGAGTGATCAGGCACTTGACAGATGCAAAACATACTGAGTCATGGAGAACAGGGGCAAAGAGAAACTGCAACACCAGACGGCACTGGCTACTAATTTGAAAACAAAAATGTAATTGGGAGTTAATCATTGGTCTTTCCTAGATCACAAATCAAAAAAACATTTCGAAATCCCTGAGTGGAAGACAAAGCCCAGGATGAATGAGTTGCAGCCCAGTGACCAGGTTTTATCCAGGCCAGTAGTAATCAGGACACATGAAAATGTTCAGGACTTTGCCACTAGCCTTTTTTCATCACTGGTGGGGAAGTAGAAAACCCATAATTGGGCAAAATGTGGCTTGGGGCTGGAGTAACAGAGAAACTGGGCCTCAACAGTGCAGTCATATGAGACTCCAGTGAAGTGGGTCTGCTATGAGAGGTGCCCTGGGAAGGCTGTTCAGCCTTCTGGTTTGGCAGGCTTAGAAAGGAATTCTGTGGATTTTAAGCTCCTACTCACAGAGAGCTTCTCTACTGAAAGCATCGTGATTCTTGGTTTAGACTTCAGTGGCATTTTTCAGATTGACTTTTAAGGCTAACAGAAGGGGAAATGGGCTCTTGTTCCTTCAGGAGACGACAGTGTATTTTTAAAAACAAATTATTCATGAGGACTAATTAACTTGGCATTTACAGCTTAGCATTCTCCTGGCTAAATTTTCTCCAACTGAGACCACGTTTTGTTGCAAGAAAACTTCTGCCTGGCATTTCCTTCCTCCTGCTGCTTTTTAAGCTGTGACATTCAGGTCATGAGCCACCTTCCAACGTCCTGTTCAGTGACTTCCAGTGAAGTAGTGAGTAGAGTGAAGATCTCAGGTTTAGCTGTGAGGGCTGGGACAAGTCTCAGTGGAGACATCTTTCTTATAGTCCTGGTCAATATTCTAACAGCTAGAAAGTACCTACTGGGTTCACCTGTACCTACCCAAAGAGCATCTGAGCACAGTGGCAGCTGCAGAAAAGCTGCTTGGAGAAAGCTCCAGCACAATGAATCACTGTAGTCTGTACAAAGGGACTTAATAGGATGCTCTCATTCACAGATTGTATTAGAAGACACTGATGACAACGAGCCCACATCAGCTGCTCACCCTGCACTTCCGCTCTCTGCCATCCCAAATCAAGTTAAAGTGATCTAGATGTACCTCTTATTGCTTCAGGAGAAAAATGTGTCCTGATTGTTCCTGGGGGTCACAGGTAACCAGTGCAGCAGAGGCCAGGCACTGTGAACTGCCACATTTGCTGGGAGGTCAGTGGGTCAATCCCCAAGTCCTAGATCCAGGAGAGAAGCTCTCAGGAATCTGCATGACAGGATGAAGGGATAACATGCACCAGCCTTAAGACTAGTTTGTGGGAGGGCTGCAGGTATACATCGCAATGTGCTCATGTGCAAAGACAAACCTTGAGTTTCTCTCACTCTTTTAGATTCTTTTCTCTTGATTTTTTAATCCTGAATGGACAAATCTTTGACCAGCAAGGTCAGTTATTTATCTTCCCTATAATTCCCACAATACAAAACCATAAACATAAGTGGTGGTGGTGGGTAAACCACCAGATCCAAAGGACACAAACACCAAGTCCCAAATAAAACCCGCAGTTGTTGTACAGCTCAGAAGCTCTAACCAGGGGTCCAGTGTGTTAAACACAATACAAATAGAATGGACTCAGTGTCCAGCTTTTGGGGAAGATGAGTTAAAATTAGGGCAACTTGGACAATGAAAAAGAGAGGCAGGATGGCAAAAGGAAGGACACGAGGTTTTAGTAGAATTAACTATGTGCTAAAATAATCCTTAGGAGACTGGTATTAGTAACCAACTCTCCTGACAAACCTTTTGCATGGAATATGCTGCTTAGCCAGCACAGGTGCATTTAGGTGTAGAAGCAGCCTCCCAGGGAGCACTGCTCAGAATGGAATGGAGGTAAGTCTCCAGGTAAGTCCAACTCTATGGCAGGAAAAGCAAGGCTGTGTATTTAGTAGAATCACCTGCATGCACTTACTGACCTCCCCAAAGATCCTGGCTGCTCACCAGCATTAAGCCACAGGCTGGCCCAAATGGCTTTCAAAGAGAGCCACCCAACTCTCTCTGAGTAAGGCCCCAAATTTTAATCTTTTAATTGATGCAGCAAATCTCTTTTCTGCTCTTGAGCTGAGAGAAGTGGGTGCTCTTGTCAGGCAGAGAACAACCAGAAGCACATCTCAGAAGCACATGATGTACTGAATTCTCTGTAGACTGCTAATATGTTTGATTAATTTTCATTATTAGTGTGAGCAAGCTTTGAGCTCTCTCTGCATCTGTCTTATTTAGAGTTGTCTTTTCTTTCTTAGTTAAATAGCAGCTTCTACAGACAGTGATCTAATTGTTCCTCAGCACCTGCTTGAAGCCATCCAAGTTAAGGATGGACACTGTGTAATTTGCAGTACACGTGATTTGGTCTTTAAGGCTCAGATCAAATAAAATGGAATAGCAAATGAGGCAGTAATTGAGTTAAGTGGAAGGTACTGTGCAGGCTGATGCTGGGGTCACAAAAATCCTTGGGCTGGACAACACTGACAATGGAACAAACCAAAATACATGTGTTGTGACCACCCAGCAGCAGGATGAACAGCCTTCCAGTGAATATCCTAAACTCAATAGCCCACAGAATGCTTTCTGTCTAATAGGCAACTGGCTTTTGGAGTGATTTTATTCTGAGTCTTTGCTGTGTTGCAAAACTCTTCAGGCAGGGCCCAATGAGTTCAGGTGCTGCTGTTGAGGTAAGTGCCCAGGATGGGCTGTGTGCTGTCACCTGTGCCTGTTACCATCCTCAGGTGCAGCGCAGAGAGCTCCTGTCACTCACACCTCACAAAACCTGTCCTGGGCAATGCCATGGCCATGCCAGGACAGAGAATTTCACTATCACAGAGCTGTTCATGTGGCAGAAAGGGGACAGATAATCTTATCCTCATTCAGCTGCAAGCTCCTCTCAGTTGGGTAGTCCTGGAGGAGTCCTTTTGTGAGTCCTAGTAAGGATCTCAGCCATTTTTTTGTTATTAAGCCTAATTTTGATTCCCTCCTAGCCCTATGACAACATGCACCCGTTGAGGCAAACACTGAGCAATTGGGAGTGCTACAGCCAAAGCTACACACTGAACTCTCAGTTTACATATGAAAAGCTCAGAATCTGTACAGGAAAAATGTTAAACAAAAAAAATATATAAAAAAAGAATATAATCCTCTACCTCACTATAGCATTACACTGGACTGGCAGGCAGGAAGACTTATCCTACTTTCCTCCACCCAGCTTCACTGCCCTCGTCTTTATGCTCCATATTTCTCATCTGCTCCTGCTCATTTTGCCTGAAGAGCTGCTGGCTTTATCAGTCTCAAGGCTTTGCTCATGGAATGCCAGGAGGCATACAGCTTTTGGAAGACTGGCAGGTCATGAAAGCAGAAGAAAAGCAGATTGTTTTGTCCAGAGCATTAGTCCAGCAACTATTTGCCATCTACTACATGAAATCAGGAGTTACTTGAAGTGCTGTTAGATATTAATTCACATCAGCACACAAGGAGAAACAGCACCAAGGAATTAAAGAATATAGTCCTGGAGCCAGCCCACAAGTCATTCCTTTTTGCATTCCCGAGGAGCAGCAGGCAGCATGAATGGCAAACCAAACTCAGCCATTCTCCCCGTGTCTGAATGCTGGAGATCTTAATATCTCTGCTCTGACGATCAAAACACCATTTGCTATTTCATACAGATCTTTCTTCTTGGAAAAAGCTTTCGGTAATTAAAGGAAGAGGCGTTATCTGGGTTGAAAGCCGGAGCCTGGGCGCGCTGTCGGGCGCGATGAGGCAGTCAGGGGGAAGCTGGCAGGAGCTGCTTTGCAGGGTGTTGTCATGGGAACAGAGCAAGTAGGGCATTCGCTGCTCCGCATCCTCCTCCCAGAATCGATGCTTTTCGCAGCGCCGGCAGAGCTCTCCGGCTGTCTCAGCAGAGATCGGACCTGAATGAAACGCAAAGGCCAGAATCTCGCTTTGTGTGAAAGTGGTGTCACTCCTGATTTGAGTGGAAGACTTTGGTGCACGTTTTAGCTGCCTGTGAATCTGGCATCCGTAATGGTCAGTGGCAGCACACAAAGGGTCGAGCTTGGTCAGTGAGTGCATCACCGTGGTGGGCAAGCTCAGAATAGAAAGTATTGCTATAGCATCAGTGTTTGTGGTCATCTGAAGTGTTGGAGTCACCTTGCACAATGCTGTCTTTGAATGCAGCTTACTTCCTCTGTGCAGGTCTGTGTATGTGGAACTGTTGGAATTTCCTTTATGAGAGGTACTTTGTGTGATGCTGTGGTTGCTAGGGACAAAAAATGGTAGTGAATGGTTTCCTGGATAAAGAAGAATACAGAAATTTCTGCTCCTTCAATTACTAGGAATATGTAACTAAAAGAAAAAGAATACTGTTAATATTGCACCACAGAGACCAGTGGAAGTAGAATTAAATGCAATATGTAAGAAAAGATCTGACAGAAGTTGAAAATGCTAACAGAAAAAAAGAGCAAAATGCAATTTATTGCCTCCATTTTGCTTTGCCCAGGTCTGGTAGCAAAGAAAAGATCTAATTAAAGCAGGCATCTGCAGAGTAACTGCACTGCTGCCACTGACCCAGGCCAGCAAGGTGCTGAGTGAACACTTCTCATTTCCTATCCACAGCAAAGTGTGAATGAGGGGCCCGCAGCCATCCAGGGCTTGCTTTGGAAAAATGACCAAAATAGCAGGCAAGGGAAGAAAATGGAGCCAATGCATGGAGGGCTTCCCAGTTTGCTTGCTGAGGTCATTGAAAACCCCCTCTGCTTAGCAACAAGTTTGAGGCAAGTAATGATAAACTTAGCCACAAAAATGCTTGGAGTTGGATCATAAACATACTTACCTTGTCTTTAACCTCTCTATCCCTGGCTCTGGTGTTTCCATGCAGGCTGCAGCAAAGCCTAGAATGAAATGGCTGGCACTGGGTAGAGCACATTCTGGGTTCATAGCGACTTTATTCTAGTGCTGATCCCTTTGAACATAAAACAAGAAGCATGAATGTATTAGAGCAATCCTTGTGGATTACTCTGTGTGAGGAAGAAACTGTGGTTCCTTTTTGGGCATGTTTGCCTCCATGCCTCTAGCAAAAGCTCTCTGGGGTAGAACAAGGAGCAGCAAAGAGTGTGGAGCGGCACTGACCTTGTCTCCCACATGACTAATAAATGCAGGGCATCTGAGGTCTTGCTGGATCAGGGCTGGCAGAGACTATTTATAAGTTTTGCATGAAACAAACAAATGCAGAAGCTGTTCTTCATGCTGCAAGGGATGAAACCAGAATTGTGGACTTAGAGACCATGGTTAAAGAGCTGAAGCCCCTGTCTCACCCACAAGCTGCTGTTCCTTGTATTTGCAGCATTGTCCTTTGCTGAAGGAAGGGACATGGAGCAGGAATTGCACTGATAAGAGCATGACATATGCCACAAATTGAAAACACACAAAACAGGGCATGCTCCCCATGTATGTGAGGTGGGGACTCCACTGCTGCAGTGTGTGAGAGCCCTGACTGACCTTGCATTAGCACAGAGGGACCTTGAACTCTTACAGCCTGCGGAAAAGTCAGGAGTGGATTCACCGAGACAGAAAGATAAAATAAATGCACAGCTCTTTCAGCACTTCCCTCCATTTGCTTCATATCATAAATATCAATACAAATATAGAAATACAGCGGTAAACAGTTTGCCCAGCCTGCCCTTTCCATATGCATGCATTTCTGCTGTGAAAGGCTTTATGTAACTCCTGACAGAGATTGCAAAATAATGCCTTGGTTATGGAAGGAAGCCACGAGCCATTACATTGCATTACTATAATGTAATGGGTCCCTGAGATGAACCAGATTTGGAGAGCTTGCTTTTATTGTAAACCTTGTACCCCGTCCAGCCCACTGGCATTGATTTCTCTTTGTTTTCTCCAGAGATCAAAGACCACGAGGCCAGAATAGCAGCTAGACCAGAACTGAGCCACTGGGGTTTTGGCCCCAAACAGAAATTTGTGAGACAAAACTGTGCTGTTTGTTTGAAGGGATGCAATACTAGAGACAGAACTTCTTCAGACGGATGCTGATGACCAATCTGCTGAAAGGTGAATTTCTCATTAGCCTAGAGAATTGACATTGTAATTAATCTCTTCCTATGTTTCTTTGCTAAGTAAAGGCTGCTGTGATAAGTGCTACCATAATTTTAAATTTTTAACTGAACGTAGGGAATAGACAAAAAAAAAGAATCTGTATTTACTTTGTTTTTCTTCTGTGCAAATGTCACAACACTTTCATGTTGGCAATAAGTGCAGAAGTGCTGATTCAATCACTTATTTACATAATCCCCTCAGATTTTTCTTTTATATCATTGTTGATAATGAAAAGATTTTCTCAGCTGGGAAAACAAAGGGAAGCAGGCAAGTTCTGAATGTAAATAGGCTGAAGTGACATAAAAATATGGTAATTTGCATTAGTAAAAATAATCATAATGTGGATGACTGAAATGATGGTAAATAGCATCTATCCCTACCTGCCCTGAGGAACATCCACCCCACGAGAGTTGAGCTGCAGTATGTGGAGCAGCCCTACCTAGCAACCTCAAACTAGGGGTGCCCTGACAGTCCCAAGCACATCCTGCAAACTGACACCAGGAAGCTGGAGTGGTGAGCTCTGTTTTAACGGGGAAAAGGGCTGGTGTTTGTGATCAGGGACCTGTGGCACTGAACGGGCAGTTGCCTCCAGAAAATCCGAATGGTGCAGGATATGTCCCAGACCTATTGTAAATGCAGGCAAACCCAATGGGAAGAAATGATGATGTCTGACTCAATTCAGAAGGCTGAATGATTTCTTTATTATAACTATGCTAAAATACATTAATATACTATATAAAGGAAGATACTAAAACTACATACCTACTTTCTCTAACTACCATATCTAACTCACAACTTGTGACCATGTTCTCGAGAGTCCAGCCACAGGTGGGTTGGATTGGCCATCAGGCTCAAACAATCCTCACCAGAATCCAATCAAGCAATCACCACAGGTCAACAATTCTCCAAACACACTCCACATGGGAAAAACAAGGAGCAGAAACATAAATTGTTTTCTCTTTCTTTCTCTCTGTGCACCTCTATGAAAAATCCTGAGGGAGAGAGAAATGTTCCTGTGACACTTTGTTTCACAGGGAAAAGGGCTGGCATTTGTGTTCACCTACCCATAGCACTGACTGGGCAGTTGCCTCCACAAAGTCTGAACAGCACAGGATGTGTCCCACATCCAAGCTGCCACCACCTGGAACTTGTGCTTCCCTGACAGTCCCAAGCTCATCCTGCAAACTGACATCAGGAACCTGGAGTGGTGAGCTTTGTTTAAAGGAAAAAGGGCCAGTGTTTGTGATCAGGGACTCGTGGCCCTGCCTGGTTTGCTGACTTCAGAAAATCTGAACGGTGCAGAATGTGTCCCAGACCCAAGCTGCCACCACCTGGAACTTGTGCTTCCCTGACAGTCCCAAGTGCATCCTGCAAAGTGCCACCAGGAACCTGGAGTGGTGAGCTTTTATATCCAGGGTAAAGGGCTGGTGTTTGTGATCAGGGTCCTGTGCCCCTGCTTGGTCAGATGGCTCCAGAAAATCCAAACAGTGCAGGATGTGTCCCAGACCCAAGCTGCCAATTGTTTGACACAACACAGAAGAGTCCAGTGTAGTTACCACAGAGCATCAAGGAACTTTGCAGAAAGCAGTTTTAAAATACTCACATTCACATGTGAGTCAGTGCAGCACAGTAAGGAGGAGCAGAGGCACAGCTGAGTGCCCTGCTGGCTACAGAGACTGTGTGGCTTTGGGAAGGCTCCTGCAACAGGGAAGGGAATGCAGGAGCTCACTCTGCACATACAGTGCCTGGAAATATAGAGCTCTTGATAAGCTGTTTTTGTAAGATGACTGAGCAGGAAAGATGTGGCCCTGGAGCAGCTGCCCTGCCTAGAGATCCACAGCCTGTGCTGTGCCTTTGTTGCATAGCCTCGGTTCTTGCTCCCAAAAGTCCGGCTCAGGCTGTGCCCCAGTAGCTCAGGAGGATGCACCTCCATGGCTGGGCGGACCAGGGCTACCTCCTCCCCAGAGCCCCAGAGGCAGAGCCCTTGAATGACCAAAGACACTGCCAGCAGCTCTTGGGGGTGTGTGAGTATTGCTAATGGAGACAAACATGGGAGCAAGCACAAAACTGCCAAACCCACAATTTGACACTGCACACTGACAGCAAAGGGCAAGGTTTAGCTTAGAGAGGCTAGGGTAGAGCTACAACCTTCAAACAAATATTTTTATTAAAGCAGGGTGTATGTTGTTTTTAAAAAGCAAACTGGATGAGAGAGCTCAGCTCCATTAAGTTGAAGAGGATTGGTCCAGTAAGGAGCAGGGGAGCTGCTGCCACTGCCTGCTGCCACTGAAGGTCAGACTCTGATAATCCAGTGAGAGCTCTCTTGAAGATGAAACACATTCTCAGCCCTTCTGGAAGATTAGCAACTGAAAAGCAATTATAGTCACGGCAATAATTTAATAATTTCCTTAAAATAAATTTTTTATAATTTTTTTTAGCTGTCTCTCCCCCTTTTTAAAACTATAGTTTAACAGTATTGCTTATGATACTGGTCTGCTGACATATACATTTAAAAATTAATTGAAACAAAACTGAAAAAAATCTAAATGTTAAGACAGAAACTCCTAGTGTTCTTTTATTAATAATTCTTTCAGGAGCTTTGCTTACCTAATAACTTATTATTGTTTTATAGGGGAAGAATGGAGTAATCGTCTGGAATAAGTAACCCTTAGCTCCTGCAGCACCAAAAGCCTGCAGCTCACAAGATCCTATTTCATTTTCTTGGTGTTCCTGGCTTTGAGGAAGCTCCAAGACTGGGTTTGAAGGTCCCAAAGGCTGTTCCAGCCACCTAAATAAAAGCACATTTATTACCTGTGTATCAGAACTCTCTGAATGGGTAAAAAAAAAAGTTAGTTTATCAGGCTCTCTTTCCCTACACCAAACTCTTCCAAAGGCAATGATGCCTCTGAAACTGCATATTGTTTACTTCAGCTCAAAATGTGATCTGTGTTTTTCTAAAGATTCAGCATGTTGTTCAGCTCAGCAGCCAATCTGCCCATTGTAGACTATGGCTGTGGGTGGTGGGGAAGACAGAGCCACCTTCGTGCTTCAAAACACTTCCCTTGCAGATACAGCCATTAAATAGACAAATTGTTTGGCTAAGGCTGGAACCTGATGTACGCTCATTAAAGTCTGCTGGCAATTTCTCCTGAATTTTAAAGAAAGGTGTTTTGTGTTTCCATAGTAACTCCAGCTCCTTTCCTGAGCTGTCTGATGCACTGCTGGTATTACACAACCTATTGTATTAGGAGGCAGTGAAGAGCAGCATTGAAAAGTCTACTGAATTTAAGGATTATGAAATTACAGCCACCAGGTAGGGGCTGCGGAGGGAGAGGGCAAACAGAGCAGCTTTGGGTCACAAGCAGTTTTGCTCAAGGAGTTTAGATGGAGAACCATGGAATTGTAGAATGGTTTTGGTTGGAAGGAACCTTAAAGACCCTCCTAGTTCCAACCCCACTGCCATGGGAAGGGACAACTTCCACCAGACCAGGCTGCTCAGAGCTCCAGCCAACCTGGCCTTGAGCAGTGCCAGGGATGAGGCATCCACAGCTTCTCTGAACAACCTGTGCCAGTCTCTCAACACCTTCACAGGAAGGAATTTCTTCCTAATATCCCATCTAAACCTACTCTCAGTCTGAAGCCATTCCCCTTGTCCCGTCACTGCTCCTGTAAAGAATCCCTCTCCACTCATCCTGTAGGCTCCTTTCTGCTACAGGAATTGCGGCAAGCAGGACAGAAGGTATGGGAAGGAGGAGAAGGAATAAACAGGCTGAGTCCTACTGCTGTTCCTCTGTGGAGCTGTCAGAGGTGCTGAGATGGGCCCCAGCAGTTTCCCAGGCTGGGCTCAAACCCTTATTCAGCAGTGCCAGGGACAGGCTGGGTCCAGCCCTGGCAGTGCCAGCTGGGTCTGGGGTCTCTGCACAAGAGGGAGATTCATGGATGGCTTCATCTGCCAGCTCTTGGGGGCCACGGCTGGAAATGCTGCTGCTCACCAGGGCTGGCTGCCCTCTGCAAGAGGGTGATCACAGCTCTTGGGTGGAAATAATTAATCCCATGACAAATGAAGAACATTGCTGGATTTTAGAGATGTCTTCTCAGAGAAACAGCTGTCTATCAAACATGAAGATTTATAAAACCGTGTGTCCGGATGTGTAAAAACTGAATTATATGCTGCTCACACACTGTGTTTAGAGTGGTACTAATAATAATTTCTTGGAATAAACTGATTCCAATAGGGTCAAGATTGGGGAACCACAGGCTAGTCAGCCCCACCTCTCTTTGAAAAAGGACATGTTGATACGGAAGTGTATCCAGAGAAGGGTAGCAAGGCTCCCGAAAGGCTTCGGAAAAGTGTCTGACGGAGCTGGGTTTGTCTAGCCTGGAGAGAAGGAGGCTCAGGGGAGACCCCATCACTCTACACCTGAAAGGAGGCTGCAGTGAGGTGGGACCTGGTCTCCTCTGCCATGCCTGAAGTGAGAGGACTCAAAGAAATGGCCTCAAGCTGGGCCAGGGGATATTCAGATGACATACCAGAACAAATTCTCTCTGCGTGGTCAGGCATTGGAATATGTTGCCCAGGGAGGTGGTGCAGTCTCCATCCCTAGCGACGTTCAAGGGGTTTCTGGAGCTGGCGCTGGGTGATACTATTGAGTGGTAGGCACGGGTGACCTTGGCAGTCTCTCCCGTCCCCCGCGATCCCGCGGTCCCAGGAACCCTTTAGCGCCGGCCGGCCCGCGCCCGGAACCATCGTGCGGCGCGGCCGTTCCCGCGGGGACGCGCCCCGCGCGGACGGCGCCGCACGTGATGGCGGCGCAGGCGGAAGTGATGGCGGCGGGGGCCCGGCGGCGGCGCGGCGGCCACGGGCGGCGGTAAAGCGGCCACAGAGCGCCGGGGCCCGACATGGCAGCCCGCGGGGCGCGCCTCTGCCCGCTGCTGCTGCTGCTGCTGGCCGCACTGGCGGGGCTGGGCGCCGAGGCCAAGGTGAGCGTGGGTCACGGTGGTGCTGCCGGTACCGGGCCCTCCCTCCGTCCGCCGCCCCCGCCGGGCGCTCGGTTCCCGCGGGTGGTTCCGGCTTCCCGGCCCCGCTGCCGCCCTGAGCGGCTGTAGGGGAAGGCCGGAGCCGGTGGTTTCGTGCGGGCGCAGCCCTGCCGCGCTGGGCGGAGGAGCGGGGCCGCCGGCGCGGCCTCGGCGCCAGCCCCGGTTCCTGCGCTCCCCGTAACTCGCGGCCGTGGATGTCGCTTTGCCGCGGTGCACCCGGACACCGGCACGCGGAACTGCGAGTGGAGACGGAGCTGCCGTTCCCGGGCTGGGCGGGGCTGAGCGCCGGGCCTGCCGCTGCTGCTCCGGTCGCTGCCCGGGCTCAGCCCCGCTCCTGGCCTGCCTCAGTGTCCGCGGCTGCCGCCGTGCTCCGGGGCGGGCAGGGAACACCGCGCCTTCTACTCGGAGCACCCGCCTTGGGGTTCTCCCCAAACACGGCTGGATTTTCGCATTTTCTCCCTGTTGATGGTGATCAGCGGTTTGACTCCTCTGCGGCACAGCAGAAGCGCTGTGGGGCAGGGTGTGGTACAGGGGGGGTCTCTGCTGCTCCCCCGAGACCCCCCTGCCCTGCTGCTCCCAGCCCCGGTCCCAGCACGGCAGGGACACGGAGCTGCTGGAGCCAGGCCAGAAGGGAAGGGATCACAGGGCTGGAGCACCTCTCCTGTGAGGACAGGCTGAAGGAATTGGGATTGTTTAGGCTGGAGAAGAGGTGACCTAACTGCAGTACCTGAAATCCTCTCAGTACCTGAAATCTGTAAGAGAGATGGAGAAGAACTGATTGCATAGGCATGTGATGTCAGGACAAAGTTTTACACTGAAAGAGGGTAGGGTTAGGTTGGGTGTCAGGAAGAAAACCTTCTCTGTGAGGGTGCTGAGGCACTGGCACAGGCTGCCCAGAGAAGTTGTGGATGCCCTGACCCTGGCAGTGTTCCAGGCTGGCTTGGACAGGGCTTTAAGCAGCCTGGTCTAGTGGAAGCTGTCCCTTCCTATGGCATTGGAGTGGAAACTGGATGATCCCTTCCAACCCAAAGCTATCTGTGATTCTGTGCTGGAGCAGTCAGGGTTTTCCAACTGACCTGTGCTCACTTGGTGTTACTCTGACTTGGCTGCTCAGTGTAGGAGTTCTTTACCAATACTTGTTCACATATTGTTTTGTAATGCCACTAGAAGTTGCCTTGGACTTTAGATAAGCCACATTTATCCTTTGTCTCTTATTGTTTGCTAAAATAAGCTTATTATTCTTTCATTCCTTTTAAGCTCATCACTGTATCCTGACAAGAAGCTGTCCTTGTAAGCTGGATACTTGATTAATCAACATCAGCAATTTCTACATGTGTGGTTTTTCTTGGAAAGAGGAATGAGCTTAAACTCCTTTTTTTTCCTCTCAAGAATGTTTTTTTATCTCAGACAGTAGTGTTACTCAACAAATTGCTCTACTTGCTTAGTAATTCTGAAGGGTTGTTCTTAAACTTGTAGGAAGTCCTGAATAAGAGTGTTCAAAGATACTTGCAAGTGATTTGTGTTAAGTCGTTCAAGTCTTATGTGAAGAATGCTTTCTGTACCCTGATAATATAAATTACATGATAAGAGAATTTGTTCTAAGCATGCTGTTTGCTTCACTTTTAGAACTCTGAGGATGTCCGGTGTAAATGCATCTGCCCTCCTTACAAGGACCACTCAGGCCATATTTACAACAAAAATGTTTCACAGAAAGACTGGTGAGTATGTGTGGCACTTAAAAAATGATCTTAAATCTTACTGGTTAAAGCCTTGTTCTGTAGTGATTATGTATGGATCTCCTGTGGTGCTGCCAGGACAAAGCAGAGCATTTCCATAACTTACTGGAGCTTTTCTTTCAGAAGTACTCCAGAATTCAGCTCTAGCAGGGGACAAAACTTAAACCCTGTCTTCTGTTTTGGTTTGCTTGCTTTATGTTTAGTTGTTTATTTAGACTTGGAAGTAGTAGAAGGGAAGAAAGTGATGTGTTTTGAATCTAGTGACTTGGAATGGTGTAAAGGCAAGGGGACACAAACCTGGAACTGGGGCTTGGGAGTATTTTCTTTCCTTGCTCTACTCTTGAAAATCATCCCATCATTTAGGAACTGTTGTTTCTGGAGTTTTGTGAGGTTGCAATATATTTTGCCCTTTCTAGCAACTTGGAGAAGAAAAAATGCTGATATTAATATTTCTAATCTTCTCAGTAAGAGACTTTACTACTGTACTTAACCAACATACAAAATTTCTGCAGTACTTGGGCAGTGTATTGGTACAAGCTTTCAGTCTTAGGAACAGCATTTGCACAGTTTGTACCTGGCATTTATTTTTGATTTTTGTAGCTCGAATGCTGCATTCTTACACAGAGGAAAATGTAGCTCTGCTTTCACATAAATTAGACAAATAAACCCTCCACTCCTCTCCAGAGGCTGTGAGGTGGCACTCAGCAGTTGCAGCTATGAAGAACGAAGAAGACAGAAGAGGTGAGCTGGTGCCTGGCTGAGTGTTTGCAGCTCTGTAATTTAGCCCAGTGAAGCGTTGAGTCCCAGGCTGCTGCTGTCACTTCAGGCCTTGTTTCACTACCTGCTGCTGACTGTGCCAGCACTGAGGTTACCAGGAGAAAGGTGAAACCAGAAAGGATTCTGGTTCTGCCAGGGCTCTGCAGGGATCCTGAGGGTCTGAACTCTGAATAACAGCTTGAGTCAGCAGAAAGACCAACATTATCTAAGTTGTTGTTGGAAGCAGTTGTCTCAGCTGAGTGTTAATGCTGTGCTATAGAGCTCCCATAATATTGTTGACCACACTTTTCCACAGAGAACTGACTTATGTTTGGTAATCTTTTAAGTCAAATGCTTTTGCTGAAAGCTGAATGCTTTTTATTCACTGTCTTGCTGCTTAGAGAAACAACCCATCTGATTTCCGTTTTTCCCCCCCCCATGTCTGTACCTTGTGATGACAAGATAAAAGAAATTCAGTTCATGAATGTCAAAGAGAGGCTAATCTGTCTTCAGACAGTGAAAGGATGGAATAAGCTCTTCTGAGTGAATAAAGAAGGGGAATTAGCAGCTGAAATTTACTTTTATCCATGATGTCTGTGTCAAATGATGCATTTGTGCTGGATGCATATCCTTGGACTTGTTCTGCTAACAGCATTAATACTTCCTCTGAAAAATGAAGACATTGTATCGAGTTAGAAAGATCTTAAAACTTGTTTAGCAGCTTGTCAGTAGCTGAATTTCTATTTTAAGTGACATAACTGTGGCATAGTGATTTATTTGTATCTGCAGTATGGAACAACTGAACTTAAGCAAGCTGAGTTTCTCAGCTCCTGCAGCAGAGTGGAACAGCTCAGCTAAAGCCAGCTCAAAACTGACTGGGCGGTTTCTGTGTTTCCTCAGTGATTGTCTCCATGTGGTGGAGCCTATGCCTGTCCCTGGACCTGATGTAGAAGCTTATTGTTTACGTTGTGAGTGCAAATATGAGGAGAGAAGCTCAGTCACAATTAAGGTAAGCAGTGTAATTTTGTTGGCATATAACAAAGACTTCAGCTGTTTACTAAGTATGTCTATTGTCTTTTAGAGAAATGCTATTTTTAAGGGAAAACTGTTCTAAGGCAGCTTAAAAAGTAATTTTTTGTAGTAGTTATTCAGTCTTGAGCAGTAACAGTAGCATCAAACTTTAGCTGAAGAAGTGAACCTGAGACTCTTTATTGAAGATCTCCACTTTTGAGATCAGACTTTACACCTTGCTAAAATTCCGAGTGTTCTAAGACATTTTGTCAAACTTTGGGCTTTGTTTTCCTTATTATTTCAGAGGGCCTCTCATTACACAGCTGCCTTACTTTCTTACTATAAATTTTCTCTATCCATATTTGTTCTAGCAGATATTGTCTGTGCTCTTCACATTCTTGTCCCATTGGAGCCATTGAGGCCTGAACTGCTGTGAATAGACTGCAGAATGGCTTTTAGTTTTTGACAACACAGACTACTTTATTTTGGGATTTTAAAAGTTTGATGGTTTGTTTTGCTTGGTGACTGAATTCGGATCTGTGCTAGACCATGGGAGATCAGTGGGGGATGCCCCAGCTTTGTCACTTGTTTAATGGCCAGGCTGGACAGATGTCTTGGTGAAGTGAGAGTTATAACTCTGAACTGTTTAAAGAGGCATAGCCTAAGATTCTTTGCAAGGTCTCACTGTTTCAAGCTGCCGTAACCCTTTTAATACCATGTTGTAGTTTGTTAGTTTTCCTTTGTTTCTGGGTTTTAAATCACCTGGTGACAATACCAAAGATCAAACTTTGCCTGTACTCATCTTTAGGTCTTGCTGCCTGTTGTGAGACTGGGGGGGAAAATGTCACAATCGTGGCATAAACTGTGCTTGCATTATGTAGGTGACAATCATCATATACCTGTCCATTTTGGGCCTGCTTCTTCTGTACATGGTGTACCTTACCCTGGTGGAGCCCATCCTGAAGAGGCGTCTCCTTGGGCATTCACAGCTCATACAAAGTGATGAAGACATTGGGGTGAGTTCACCAGAGTCTTTGTGCACTTGGTTAGCATGAACATTAGATGGTTGGTTGATAACTATTTGGGGTGAGCAGCTTCTTTTGCCAGGCAGTGTAAATGCTTTCCCTGCTGGGAGAGGAAAAGTGTGTGATGACTTCTGTGAAGCCACTCTTTCATTTTTCACTGGGCTGAA